TGTATGATTTAATTTCATAAACTTTAGGGAAAAAACTAAATCTATTTGAACAAATAAATATGACTGCTTATTTTTATTATTCAAAGACAAAGTTAGCACTTGCTAAGTAATAAAAAGTTTCACAGTAGTACTTCTCTTAAAAAAAAAACAAAACCTAACTGGGTGTAATAAAATTGTATTGTGCTATAGGAACTGCCTTTTTAATGAATTAATAAAGCGGTTTTCTCAGCTGGGAGGAAGAGAGACAACATGAGAAGAAATAGAACTTTTACTTTTGCCAACAATCTCCCCTTCCCCCACCAATGATGGCCAACTTATATTTCTATAGGAAAATGACTATATACATAAAAAATATTCATTTAATTCTGATATACACTCAACAAAATTATTATTTTAAGATAATTGTTTCCTATTTAAATCATTGGAAAAAATGAAAAATATTTTTTTCTGGTTCTGCTGAAGAATCAGACAGGAAATGCATAGTTTCCCTTGGAGTCCTGAGTTTTTCTTAAGTATTTCCCATAAGATCTTCTCGAAGAGTGGACTCAGACAACTAAGTGAAAGGGAAAGCATGATGGGATCAAGATCCTTTTGGAAAGACGAATTAGTGAAGAAACAAGAGAAAAAGAAACAGGAAACAACCTTTAGGGCAGTGGTTGTCAAAGCTGGAAACAGAATCTCTGAGAACTTGTTAGAAATAAAAATGACCAGGCCCCACCCCAGTCCTGCAGAATCAGAAACTGGATGGGGCCCAGCAATCTGTTTTAACATGCCTTTGGGATTCTGATGCACACTTCAGTTTAGGGAACCCTTATTTCACCAGGACTGTTTTTCACCAGGACTATTTTTACAGGACTGATGTATCAGAAAACTTTTAAGTTTTAAGAATTAAAAATACTTCTTTAACAAACTTAGGGAAATATCCCTAGATATTCAATTGTATGTGAAAAATCAAATAATCTTAAGTGTTCCTTGAACTAGTTCTTTGTTTTCTGTATAGTTTACCCTGTTTTTGCGCTTAAAAAAATTTTAAGTGGAAACAAGGTTAAACCTCAGCCCTCTGGCAGACATGGCCGGTTGCCTTTTCATGTGGTACAGATCTTGGGTCAGTCTCATCTCTGCTAGACCAAGAACCCAACTTCAACACTCTAGTTAGAAATAAACAGGCCCCAGAAAAAACAAAATCGTAAGGGGCCTGACTGATAACTGCAATGTTAACTTTTAAATTTACTATAAGAAATGTGATTGCTAAAAAGACAAGATTTCTTTCCCTTGTAGGACTTAGCTATCCAGAAAGTTAAAATGACTTTTAGCAGATTGAAAATCCACTGCTTCAGAGCAGAGTTGGGTGTTCCCACTTGCTAGTGAAAAACAGTTTGAAATCCCGGGGCACAGAGGTCAACTTCTTGTGTCCAAATTTTTACATGGGTGGTTTTTAAGCAGATTCCATGTAGCCTACTATTCTTCCATTTGGAAAAGGCCTCAGGCATGCTATAAAATAATTAACTCTTCAGGCTTGGAAGCACTCTGGGTCCTTAATTCACCTAATTTATCAACAGGCATTTACCAAGTTCTTATAAGCCAGGCTCTGTGCAAAGTACTGGGAATAAAAAAACATTAAGCCAATCCCACTTGTCCAGAAATTTAGTTTAGGAAAGACGGAGGGAGTGGCAAAATAAAGATAATTATAAAATATAATTAATGAAATAACAGTCATGCATTGAGTATTACAGGGGAAATCTCTGGTACAATATTTAGAAGGGGGAGTGGATTTGGAAGGTATTTTCCAAGGAGACAGAGAACTCTGGATTGAGGCTGGAAGATGAGGAAAGTCACAATTCATTTACAAAGCATCTTAAATAGTCACGATCATCCACTTAATAGTAATGTTAGCTTGTATTTCATAAAATGAAAATTTCTGATTTTAACCTAAATTCTGTGCTAGGGCAATAAATCTATGCAGTTACAGATCAAACCTAGGGGAAAGAGGTATCTAATTTAGTGGAAAAGCCAAATTATGGGTTGTTTAGAGAAAAAGGGTTTTGCTTACCTCTGACAGATACACAAATAGTTAACAATGTTTGTTAAATAAAGGTCCTAGGATTGGTCTTTGGCCATTTGGCACAGTTTTTATTCGAAAGTAATTTATTTTAACAAAGGCTAATATCCTCAGGCTACTCTCACTGTGAATTTATCTCAGTAACTATACTGCAAGTTTTTAAAAGGAGTTTGTTTCGTCAAGGAGAAACAAAAGCAGGCATTTTTCATTGCTTTTCAGTTGACTACTTCTCAGGGAAGCGAAAAGGGCCAAGACAAAGCAAAGCAGCAAGTCCTAGTAAATAATAAGTTATAGCAAAAACAAAGTACCTAGGTTCTTTAGCTTCCTTCTAAATCTTTTGCTAGGAGGTTTGAATCACAACATTTCTATGGTAAGTGGACTACGGGGAAACATTGTCGGAAACAAACGTAAACAGTCTTTGGTTTCTCATTTCTAAAGCTAAAACAGATGCGGTGCGCACACTCCGGGCCCTGGCATCGCCTCAGTTCAGAAGTTATCACGTGGACCTAAGGTGACTGCACGCTGCCTCCCCAAACCCCTTTTACTGCGCTGAGCAGCCCGAAAGCACCACTGGAGGCCCTCCCCTCGTGCTCCTTACAGCTCTAGCCAGAGTCCGCCGCGTGGGATCCCTCCGACCTGCTCCACCTCCCACCCCGTAACAGGAGGAAGGAGCGTCGCTCCCGCGGGCCTGTGCGGAGACGCATGCGCACCGGTGCGCCAGCGCTACTAACGGGCGCGCGCCGCAGGGTCCGGCGTTCCCACCGGCCTTCGTCCCACGGGACCCGCTGACAGGTTCCTACCGACAGTAATCGCTGAGCCCCCGCCCTGAAATCCCAGTCGGGCGCGCACCGCTCGCGCGTCCTTCCGGCGCCGGCCGCGGCGGGTCGCTCGAGGCGAGTTCAGCGGCCTGCCGGGGCCGAGCTTGCGCTCTCATTGGCCGACGCCCGCCCGGCCTTCTTCCCTGAGCGCCTGCGCGCAGCGGGCTGTGGGGAGGAGGAACCCCTAGCAAACCGCAGGCCTTCGCTGACAACAGTGCCCAGGTGACCCTGTTGTCGTTCCCGCTCTCCTGAATCCCTTGTCTCTCCGCCTTCTTACCGACCGGCTGGGAGGGGGCTCCGCGGAAAGCTTTGAGAGACGAATGAGCCCTCCCGAGACGTAACGGGCTAGGCCGGCGGGCGTCGGAAAATGAGTAGACTGCAGGTGGCGGGGCCTGACCGGAACGGGGTGGACAGGATGGGGAGCAGAGGGTAACCGAGCACGCGCTGGAGCCTGGAAAAAAGGGGGGGGGGCGCGCATGCGCCGGACCGCCTAGCGCCCTCCCGCCCGGGCACCCAGGGAGGGGGCGAGGCTGGCCTTGGGAATCGCCCGTGTCGTTTTCGGAGCTGAATCCTTAGGTCGGCTCTCTTGAAAGCTTTTTTAAAAGGTCTTACTTAAGTATGCTCTTTGGCATACCTTACAGAAACATAGCTAATTCCTAAACATTTTCTCCAGTTTACATTTTTTTACGTTGGTCCCTTCGAGATCTTGCTATTTTCAAACCTTAAGCATTCCCTCCGCCCCCCTTTTTAGAACTATTCATTTTGGGATTTAGCTTTACTTTGGTCGGTGGCTTTATCCCCAGGAATGGCCACAAGTGAAATTAGGCAAATGCAACAACCGCTCTTTTCTCTACCTTTTGGCACTGTTCAGAGAGGGAAAAAAGAAAGACGCCTCCATTTGTTTCATCCCTAACGGCTCTTGCTCTGGACAATTTGGTCACTTGTGATCCATTCCATTCAACCCCCCCCCTTTTCTTTTTCTAAAAGCTTAATTTATCATCTTGCGCATTTTAATCTTTTCAGATGCATCCTGGTCACCGACATCTAAATGGTCTCATATTTCTCTCCTTTCTTTGGTTTTCAGTTTCCATCTATAGGAAGGACTAATTTATTAAGTGTCCACTTACCATTCTCTTCGCTTGTCCTCAAAAGTGCCTCAAACTGAGGGTATTAATCTCCAAACCTATTTTCTAGGTGCCGCATTTAAGTAATGGCAGTTACTCTCACCGGGTTTCTTCATACTAGAGAAGTGAGCATTTTTCTGTACTTCTCCTCTGCCTCACTTCCATATCCTGTTCTAGTATTCATTTCACATTTCATATGATAATAGGCATTTTGTTAAGTGCTAGGACTTAACTTTTTTTAGTCTTGGGAGGGTATAGACTTACTCCAGTGATGCTATTACCATATTTTGAAAACTTTAGGAAATACCTTCAATCCCCTCAGTCACGACTTACTCTTTATTACTCACTTTATTCAGACTTTCTCTCTAAATGATTTTAAATTCTGTTTTTAAGTGTTAAATCAAGATTGAGAATGATCACCTTGGAGAATGTGCTACAGATCCAGAGGACTTGAGAAAAGGAGTTTAAACTTCCTAAGGTGATCAGGAACAGTCCTTAGGGTATTTATGTTGTGATATATGTTTAAAATACTGTTTTCTTTAGTCATATCTAATGCAACAAATGACAAATTTTCAAAATACAAACACTGTAAGATACACTAAAGGAAAATTATTCAGATAGTAATTTAAAAATTTTTTGGTATAACTCAGAACGTGCCCTAGAATTTTAGCATTTGAATCATTTTTCGTTAGTATTTACTATTCTAGATTACAGATGTAGAATTGGATTTAGACTCTGTACTGTTTATAAACTTATTTCATGTCCCTAAAGATTTATCTGGAAACTCCAGTTACCTGCTCACCTTTCCCTTTTATGTCTCCCTCTTATTAAATGCTACACAATATTCAGTTTGTGATCTCCCACTGTTTAGATTTCAGAATAAATAGGGGTTTACCTAAGTTAAAGAGAAGTCAAAAAGTAATTTGAAAAATCACTTTTCAGTGTGGATAAAATCATCTTGCATACTTCAAACTTTTAGTGTTTGGAAACTATTAACTTACTATATAAACCAATAAAGGGCAAAAGGTGAATATAGTGAAAACTGTATTTTTACTGCCTTTTATTTTCAACAATGATTACTTGAACTTAAAAAAAAAAAAAAAAAAAAAAAGCCTTTATTAACTAATGGTTACTGAAAAGCCAGACCTTTCCAGCCCACTTCATATTCTCTTTCAACCATTTCAGGGCAGAACAGTGTTCCAAACTATAAACCTGTTCCTTATTAACATTGACGGTCATGTGCTTAATGAAGAGCTTTGGATCTGATATACGAGCAGCCATAATTAATCTTTCCACTGCAGCTTGATATTCATCCTTGCTCCGAGATTTGTTTTCTTCACATCTACAAAGTGAACAACTCACAAAGTCAGAAACTATAGTTTCTTTAAAAACAGTCATCTACATTTACTGGTACTAAGCTATGAGTCTTTTTTACTGTATTCTTCTGATAGTGGCTTTCAAATTTTTCAAACAAGACACATAGTAAAAGACATTTTATACTGTGACCCGGTATATACCCTCATACATAAAGATGGAAGTTTCACAAGACTTACCCTTAAGGCAATGTACTCTATTTTCTACTCTCTCCTATTTTTTGGAAAGATTTTATTTATTTGACAGAGAAAGACAGAGAGAGAGCACATGCAGGGGAAGAAGCAGGCAGAGGGAGAGGCAGGCTCCCCGCTGAGCAAGGAGCCTGATGTGGGACTCAACCCCAGAACTGTGGGATCATGACCTGAGCTGAAAGCAGATGCTTAACCAACTGAGCCACCCAGCCTCCCTTTTATTTTTTTAATAATGTGGTTGCAGGGCTGCCTGGGTGGCACAGTTGGTTAAGCTTCTGACTTTTGATTTCAGGCCTTGATATCAGGGTCATGAAATCGGGCCCTGCCCTGAGTCCCACTCTGCACTCAGCAGAGTCTGCTTACGACTTTCTCTCCTTCTCCCTTTGCCCCTCCCCCATATGTGCTTTCTCTCAAATAAATAAATCTTTAAAAAAAAAATAATGTGGTTACAATACCCAAAATTGATTTTACCACACAAATGCGCTACAACCCACAGTTTGAAAAACACTTACCTAGAACACAGCTAATAACCTCTCTGTATTGTGAAAGTTGATAATGGCATAACTATTCACTGTAATGTGTACAAAAATAGTGAATTTAATGAAACTTGGAGTTATTAGCAGTCACATATTTTACCTTGATATTAGCTATTTTTAATTCTAAGCATATACTTAACAGGTAGCTAACATTTGGTAACAGAATTGAATTGTAGCTATAGGTCTTTACTAAATTTCCAGTTACTTTTTTTAGTCTTGATTTAAGAGTCTTCACTAAGTGCTACAGTTTACTTTTCTAATAATTTTTCTACCAGTCTCCAAATTTCATAAAATTTTTATGACTGTTTACCTTAAGAGATAGGGAGTGGGAAGTGTTTAAAATAGAGATGTGGCTGTTACATTAGGCATCAGTTGTTTGTGTTCACTGTATCCTGCTCTTGGCACCTGCAGGGCCCAACAACAAGGTGCAAAAATGAGTCTCCTTGCATTAACACCTTAGTGTGGGGCACAGAATGGTGCGATTGAGGACTTCAGCTTGGTCACCAAGTTGAACCAGTCATCACAGAGAGGAAGGATTGGCAGGTGCCTTCTACTACTGAATGTAGTAAGTGTCCTAAGTGGTGCCTAAAATCTGGTGGACTAGGCATATGCCAACTAGATGTAGTTTTTGAAAGCCTAAAGATAAAGAACATTCTCCCTGAGAGAGGTTAGCGTAACAAGGCAGGTCTCAGGATGATAATAATAATAGAGAAAATAATATTGTTTGGGACAAAGTTAAAGATTTAGGCATGTCACTAGTTTCGCACTGTGGTCACAAATACCCCCCAAATTCAACAATGAATAAAAAGGCTGCATATATGTGGGGAATGGAAAGCTATGAGAAAATCAAACCCTCAAGTTGGGGAGCCCAAATGCCTCATGCCACTTATAGTGCACAGAAGTACTGAAGGAGGCCCTCAGAAAAAAATAAAGCTATAACCAAAAAAAAAAAAAAAGGCTAATTGTAGTGGGTTTTTAAAAAAATGTGGACCTGAAATTATTTTCTCGGGTGCCTGGGTGGCACAGTCAGCTAAGTGTCCAACCCTTGATCTCAGCTCAGGTCAATCTCAGCGTTGTGAGTTCAAGCCCAGTGTGGAACCTACTTGAAAAAAAATTATTTTCTAATTTTCTTCCCCTTAAGTATGGCCTAGGTTAAATGACTCACTATCACACATGGAATTAAGCAAAAATGACAGTGTGTACCTTTGGACACTGGTTATTAGATGATAATTCTTTCTGGGTCTCTGCATTTCTATAAGTTTTGAGAGCAGAGACACTGACTACCTCTTGTTCTGCATTTCAAGGATGTTTATATAGTGTACCACCTTGAAAGACAAAGACAGGGTCTTCTAGAGCAAAGGGTAGGTTTGCTTATAGCCTCACAAGATAGAGATGATATTTCTCTGAAGAGCAACAGGGCAGGCATGCTTATCATTCATTATAATAGGTCCCCTGAAGTTCAAGATTACTCTTCTGTAACAGAACCCAGTGCATGTACAGGTATCCAGCTGGGCCCATCTGTGGGACTCGGGGAGGAAAACAGGAGATACATATGTGCAGATAATCATATTGCTTTCTGTACCATAAGTAATAACATCTTCTGTCTCCAATGCAAGAATATTGTGTCTTACACTAGGATCTAGGTGACTATGTCAGACTGACTGGTAGCCTGCAAATAGAGCCTTCACAGTTCTTGATAAAGGTCATAAAAGGGACTGTAGCTTCCTCCTTGCCTTTTCTCTCTTAGATCACTCTCTCAGATAAGTTAGCTGTCCTATCATGAAGACACTCAAGGAACTGAAGATTCTTGGCAATGACATGTTAATGAGCCATCTAGAAAATGGATCCTCCAGCCTCAGTCAAGCCATCAGGTAGGTGACCTCAACTCCTGACCCACTACCTCAGAGATCCTGAGCCATAACCATACTGCTAAGCTATTCCAAAATTCCTGACCCACAGAAACTAAAATGATATTTGCTGTTTTAAGCTGTTTGGGGATAATTTATATGCAGTAATAGATAATTGATAGGATATCCAAACTGATAATGTGGTTTATACCACCAGTAAACTGAAGAAATATTCTTGTCAAAAAACTCTAAAACATGAGATCTTTATTAGTTTCCTGGATAGGCCGATAAGGAATTGGAGTGGTATAAGCCCAAATTCTGGGACTTTACACAAAATTTGAGGAAATACCTGTCTTTCCAACAGCTACATTATAATATTATGCATTTACAACAACACTTCAAAATCTAGAAACTAGGCTGATGGCTTTATGTTCGACATAATTCTTTACTGAATCAAATAAACCATTGCATATTTCCCTTTTAGACTTGGTTTTTAGATCTTCTGTGTTGACCAGAAAGATAAGTAACTTTTAGATACCTATCTAAAAATCTATCTGTACACAAGAAAGACTGATTGTTAAAAAGGATCCATTTCTCTGTCCCCAGACAGCATCTTTGAAGTTGCTAATGTGTTTATTAAATGTTACCAGCTTGTTTGGTTTTATGTCTCCAACAAGTCAAATCCTTTTTCAATTTAAATGTTACCAAAGTTTATAAATACATACATATACTAATATATACATACATATACTAATATACTAATATTACATGTAATAAATATGTGAATATGTATATATACATACATACACATCTATGTATATGTGTTTGTGTGTGTATATAAAGTGTGCATAAAAATATATATAATGTTTATTATAAAATATATACAAAAATATTTATATCCTAGGACAGGTGTAGGGAGCCATGAGCTGCTTTTAGCATGCAAACAGAAGTTATATCAACTAACCTTTTCAAAACTATCTGCAGTATCTGTGTAGAAGTTCCAGGACTCTGAATACTACTAGCATTAGATACCAGGAAGATTTCAATAGCTAAAAGCATTTCAATCTCAGATAAATAGGAAGGAATCAGTAGAAGTTTTCTGTATAAATTTCCCTCCAATGGTGGGTAGCAACCCAACGAAAGAGCACCTGGAAATCAAAAAATAGATCAAACTTTACTAAGACCCCAAAAGGTGAAAAGCTAGACTTCCACAGGTGACTAATTTCTTACCTTACAGAATGATTCTTCACATCAGGCTTATTATACAAATTACATGGTTTATTATACAAATTATATATCCTAGTACATTTGATATTATTCTTTGTAAAATGCTTCTGAAACATTAAATATGAAGTAAGAAATTTATTTTAAAAACTCTGCTCTAAATATTACATTTTTGAACCTCATTGTGGCAACTGCCCATTTATTTCAAACCATAATCAACACAACATAATTTCAGAGTAACTAAAAAACCAGAATAGCAACTTGGGTTTTGTTTTAATGGGATCTGCTCTAATGGCAACTACATATATTTGTAATTATTGACTATCCTGAATTATGAATCCAAAATGTTGAAAAAAGTAGAAATTATAATTTGAAGATTTTTCTGTCACACAGATATACTATTTTTAAGCACTTATTTATACTGCTGTTATAGTTTATGTAATAAAACACTTACTGTCTATTCTATGTGTGACATTGAGCTAAGCACTATTTGGATATAAAAATAAGTAAAATATATATCTTTCCTGTAGGTGCTCAGTGTGTTGTAGGTGCTCACCAATTCATGTTCTAAAAATTTTACTTTTCAAGAAAAGAGATTTAATTTTTAAACTGTTTAGGTGCTTCTTACAAATGATATATAGGGAAATTCCCTTAAGTCCTAAGACATCCAAACTGTATATAGATAGTATTATACTGTTATGTTTTACTGAAACCAATTTAAATCTGTATGTAAAAGTTGTTTAAAATATTTTGTTAGAATCAGTTCTTTAAGAAATCTAATGTGGGGGCTCCTGGGTGGCTCAGTCATTAAGCAGCTGCCTTCGGCTCAGGTCATGATCCCAGGGCCAGGGATCCAGCCCCACATCAGGCTTACTGCTCAGGGGGGAGCCTCCTTCTCCCTCTCCCACTCCCCCTGTGTTCCCTCTCTCACCATCTCTCTCTCTGTCAAATAAATAAATAAAATATTTTAAAAAAAAAATCTAATGTGGATGATGATGGTTCATCTTTCAGAACTTACTGTGTGCCAGGAACCTGTGTTAAACACATAGATTTTACCTAATTTTAACTGACAGTTTACTACCTTTGAAATTAGGTACAGTGACTCCCACATGATAGGTAAAGGGGCTTTGGGAATCACCCCAGCCTTCTGACTCCACAGATTTTGGGTTCCTAAATACTAGGTAGTCCCACTTCCCTAGGTCTCTTAGAGGACGAACCCTATCAACTCATTAACTTTTCTAGCTATTGATAGGTATAATTTACATACATTCTTATTTTACTTTGCTGACCAGATGGGGGAAACAAAAAATAATAAACTGAATAGAAATTTACCATCATTAACTTTTCCCCCTAAAAGCAAATTTGAAAAGAAAAATATTCCCATTTGGTTTTACAGGAAAAACAATGGAAGGACACACTAATAACATCTCCCTTCCTGACTTTTCAGCTCTGAGAGAAAATCAGTATTTTTAGGACTAGGGAGAGCAAATCAGGAGCCATTAGGAAGGCAACTTTATTGTCCCTGGACAGTTGCCTTCTTATTAGTTTGAAAACAAAAAGCAAAGCCAAGGCATAAATAAAGGGAAAGACAATTCACAGAGTGGAGAAAAAAATTCATGTATTCCACATGGGACTTGCATCCAGAGTGTATATATATCTATATGTATATTATGTGCATGTGTATATATGTGTGTACTCTTACAACTCAACCAATAAATACAATTAAGAAACGTACAAAGAAAAAAATGGGTAAAGGATTTAACAGACATTTCTCCACAGAAGATACACAAATGGCCAATAAGCACATGAAAAGGTGTTCAACATCATTAGTATTATGCAAAATCAAAACCAAAATGAAATATCACTTTATATCCATCAAGAAAGCTAAAATAAAAAACACAGTGTAATAAGTGTTGGTGAGGATGTGAAGAAACTGGGTGGCTCAGGTCATGATCTCAGGATTGTGAGATCAACCTTAGAATTCTTTCTTTCCTGTCCCTCCCCCTCTCGCTCACTCTCTCTCAAAAAAGAAAAGGAAAAAAAAGTAAATTTAAGACAAATTACTGCAGGAATGCAGAAAAGAATTGTTTTCTGGATCGAGATTCTATACAAAATTACTTCCCAATTCAAATACCTGTGAGGTGGCTGGGATTAGAGAAAGCATTAGTTTTCCAGTCTTACTGGTTAGGGAGAAACAACTGTAAATAGATTAACAATATTCTATTATTAGGAGTCATGCAAAAAACTTATGTGTCATGTTCAGTAATGGCAGCCTCTGTACTTCCTATATGGCCTGCTATAAAATATTCTAACTTATAAAGATCAGGATATAGCAGGGATGAATAAAATATATAAATACTCCTTAAACTTCATTCTACCAGTTACTTTACTCCAGTATACTTAAAAGCTAAGCCAAACTGGTTCAAATGCTGTCATTTATTTCCTTTGTGCACCCTCCAGTGGGCATACTGATGTGCAAAGAAATGAAGATATAGTAAAACAAACAAACAAAAAAACCCCCAAAAAACAAAAAACCAAGAAAGAATAAGTTTCCAAAGAGAGCACAAATCTGAGTAGACCACTATTATCTGAATGTGTATCAACTGTTCCTTTAACATATTTAAATGCCTAGTCATAAAAATTATACAAGACTTCAGGGTTAGAAAATCAAAGTCAAACTAATATATCAAATATAAATTTTTTAAAATGTAACTTACTTTTGTAGTGGGCTCTGGCTTTGAGCCATAAACAACTCCTTCCTAAAGAAGTAATTAATCTTCTAAGAAAGGAGAAGTCAATAGGGATGTTCTTTGAAATCATGAATTCTGCTACAGAGGATGACATACCAAGACTGTTGCTTTCTATACAGGCATCCAGAAGTTTATTAAAGAGAAGGCTATACTGTGAGACCTCCACAGTTTCTGGGGGGGAAAAAAAAGGTATAATGAAATCGATTTTAGTCTCTCCATCTTCTCTCTCTCACTACTTTTCCTTTCTCTCTGTTCCCCTTGGCACTTTGCTTCCCACTATGGGAGTCACAGTCACTAAAATGCAATCATCTTATAGATTAAGAAACAAATAAGCATTCAACAAAAGCAAACACATTCATTTACTTTGTAACAAAGAATAAGAAAGGAAGCTTGACAATTATTGCAGAGGCTGCATTAACACCCATTTGTGATCCCACATGTGTCTGCATCTGCAGTGTCTCAAAATGAATGACTTGCACAGTTCTGCTTGCATTGTCTACAGTTCAGACCTCAGACTTAATTTCCCATGACTAAAAATAAATCACCCCCTAATATTCTCTCTCAAAAACAAATCTTTCATTGGGTATTTCTAGTTCAATTCCTCACTTAGAAGAAAGTGAAATCACTGCCAAGTCTTTTATTCCCTATATTTAGTCAGTTCAATCTATAACCTAGACTCTGGTCTTTAATATTTGCAGCATCCTTTAGTGATTCAGGCCTTAGCAGGAAATTAATCTCCTTACCTTTTCGTCTCTTCCTGAACATCTCTACCAGTGGAACTTCCCTGACTAATAAAGCACTGTGGGAGGCCCTTGGGTTAACATTCTGATGAAGTGGTAACCTGCCACTCTGAACCTATCACTCAGCTCATTTTGACCCAAAGCTTTTGCTCATGCTTCCCTTAACATGGACTCTCTTCCTGTTCATATAAGACCTGAGTGTTAGGATTCAAAAGCACTACCTACTATTGCCCACATTAATAATCCCTTTCTTTGAATTTGTCATTTGTTAATTTCCTCCAATTATTCCATGTTTCCCTATGTTCCAAGGTAATGGAAACTAAAATCTATATTTATATATAGTAAGTAATAGAAAAAGTATTCTTCATTATTCTAATACAATGAATTTTGACCACATAAAGCTTGCTGTGGGCATTACTGTTTGCTGCTGACCTGACAGGTAGGGAAAGGGGATTGATGAAAACAGTTGGGAAATACCGACAACCCAAAGGTAAGCACCCCTGCTTTAAAAAAATAAAACAAAAATCAGAAAAGCATATTCAATTTTCAGAGAACAGATTTGCAGAAAACAGTATCATTAAAAATATATGCTGAGCCAAAACAGGTACAGAACTGTTTCTTCTTTAAACATCAGATGGAGATGCCTGGGTTCTCAGTCAGTTGAGTGTCTGCCTTTGGCTCAGGTCATGATCCCAGGGTCCTGGGATGGAGTCCTGCGTTGGGCTCCTTGCTTGGTGGGGAGTCTGCTTCTCCCTCTGCCTGCCCCTCCCTGCTTGTGCTCTTTCTCTCTCTCTAATAAAGAAAATCTTAAAAAATTAAAAAAAAAAAAAACAGATGGACAATAGATTAATTGAAACTTTTGAAACAACAGATTCATTGAAACATACCTTGAGAATTTTGAAAACCTGGTAGATTTTGCAAAACTTCAAATGTCTGTCTATAAAGGCTCTTGGCTAAGATTTCATGTGCAATTGTACAGAGCAGATTATGTCGATTGAGTACATCCAGTCTATCACAAGGCCACAGTGGTGTATTGATGATCCATTCTGACTCTTCCAAAAAGAGAAAGGTACTAATACTTTTACTACGGAAATTACACTTAACAGTATAATCACAACTGTTTTCAAATATGTTAAGCATCAAAACTTAAGTATGTGTTCAAAAAAGATAACAATGACTCAAATTCATTAAAAACAACTTATATAGTGATGATCACCATCCTAAGGAGATGCAAACTAATGAGCACTTCGTTATATGTATTTTTTAATTCTTCATTTTTCTAAGTGTACAAATCAGTTATTGATTCTGAAGTTAATGTTTATTTTTGCATGACAATGTTTTGACTATAGTGAATATTTGTTATAATGTAAAATATTATTTGTGTGGACAAGTTTAACAACTTTACAATAAAGAATACATAATTTAGGGGCCCCTGGGTGGCTCATTCGGTTAAGCTTCCAACTCTCTTGATTTCAGCTCAGATCATAATCTCTAGGTCAAGAGATCAAGCCCTACACTGGGCTCTGCACTCAGTGTAGAGTTGGCTTGAGATTCACTCCTTTGCCCCTACCCCTTTCCCTGCTCGCACACACACTCTCTCAAATAAATAAAGGGGAACCTGGATGACACAGTCAGTTAAGCATCATACTCTTGGATTCAGCTCATTTTGTGATCTTAGGGACATGAGACTGAGCTCTATGTCAGGCTCCACAATCAGTGTGGAGCATGCTAACATTTCTCCCTCTGCCCCTTCCCACACTTGAGTGGTCTCTCTCTCTCTCAAATAAATAAACCTTTAAAAAATAAAATACATAAATAAAATCTTTTAAAAAATACATAATTTAATTAGTTATTTTGGAGAACAGGTTTTCCCACCAATTTCTTAAACAATTTTTATTATAAAGTATTTTATATGTACACAAGAATATCTAATGTACATAAGTTATAAAAACATAATAAAGTTTTATGTACCTTTCATTCAGCTTTAAAAAAAGAATATTACCTATAGTTGCTGAGGTTCCTTGATTTCTGCCCTGATTTGCATATCAAAAGCAATAGGAGACTGTAATACAGAACACTGAGGTGCTAAAACATTAGATATGTCAGTATTTTATCATTTACCTAATTCCCTCAATCATCATACACAAGATACATAAATGAAACATTGTTATATAACAAATCACATTTCCATGTTCTTTTTAAACTGGACTAAGTACATGAGACATTTTTCCTTTGTGACCTTCCCAGCACAATAAATACAAAAAGTATTAAAGATTTGGCAATTCACGTATACAATGCCAAAATAAAGCCTTAATTGTCCAGTATAACTTTAAAACAGGAGCTTATTGTTAAATTACTAGAGCCCACTTGATTGACCGATTGCTTGACTTGCCTTATAGTATGTGCTAGGCAATGTTTTATAAATATTGGTGCTCATTTAAACAGATACTTTCATTACTCCCAAATTTGCTTAAATTTTACTATATCAAGAAATTTAGATGAACTTATCTTCTGAAAGACTACCTAAATCATCTGTTGAACATAATTCTCATTTCCTCCCAATAATTCCCCAAAATAAAACCACTAAATCACCATTCCTTATAAACTGAATTTTATTTCTATCAAATAAGCTCAATTATTTTTTGTTAAACATATATCTGGTAGATATGTCATATTTATAAAAAGTAGACTACTATGTGGTCTTTTCTCATAACAATTACATTGTTCTTCATTTAGTACTCATTTTTAAATTATTAAGGTAGAATAATGGTCCCTTTTTTGAAAGAATAGATGGTATTTTAGGAGATTCATTTTGAAATCTTAACAAACTGTGTAGCTATCTTAAAGAATCTGAGTAAGTTGGTCATTTTATGTACCAAAGTTAACTGGTAATTGGGAAGACTGGTAATTGGGAAGTCATTTGGAAATTAACAGCTTTTAACTAATCCACCCCATTCATAACTCTATCACTTTTATGAATATTTTATAAGAACTCTTATGAGAGGGCCCCTGGGTGCCTCAGTCAGTTAAGCGTCTGCCTTCCACTCAGGTCATGATCCCAGAGTCTTGGGATCAAGTCCCCATGTCAGGCTCCCTACTCAGTGGGGAGTCTGCTTCTCTGCCCCTCCCCTGGCTGGTGCTTTCTTCCTCTCTCTCTCTCTCTTACGCACTCTCTCTCTCAAATAAAAAAAAAATTTTTAAAAATATTTTTAAAAAAAAGGACTCTTATGAGAAATTTTCAAAAACAAAACCAGTTTACTTGTGTAAATACTAATCTTATGGTAGTAAAAGTTCTCATTGCATTAACCCTGTTTTTCTCTGTTCCACAGTTGGGAATATTTTCCATTTGTCTAAAAAATCTGAGTCAAAGGGCAAGTAAATTTTCTATAATATCAATTCTTTATCTATTTACCTTCCAACATATGCATATTCAATCATTACTCATGCAAGATTTTGAATATAGGGCACTAAGAATATAAAGACTATTAATATGGTCTACAGAAAATGAATCTCCAGGCTAGTCAGTGAGATTACCAAATTACTACTCTTTACCATAGTGAATAATGCATATACCATAAGGAATATCTAAAGATACCTTCCCCCTTTAATATATACATTTATTATAATCCCAATCAAATTTCCTACAGAACTATATGAAAAACTGACTCAGTAACTCTGAAATTCATCCAAAAGAATAAGCACTTGAGAATGTAAATAATAGTTTTGGAAGAGAAGGTTGCCTAAATAGATATTATCACATACTCTAAAACCAACTAAAAAGAGTTTGGTGCTGCCACAGAAACAGAAATCCCTGGGAGAGAAAGCTAGTACAGAAATAGACATAAGCAGACACAAGATTCTAATATAAGGTAAAAGTGGCATTTCAAATAAGTGAATAAAGGGCGAGTTGTGACATTTTGGGGAAATAAAATTACATTCCTACCTCATATCAAAATTTAAATCTGGTAATGAAACCAAAATTTTGAAAAATATAGGGTAAATATATAATTTTGAGATCGCTAAGGACTACCTAAAGCATGATACAAAACAAAAATTAGGAGTAATTTAAAAAGCAGAAACAGACCCAAAAATACTGAGAATAAACTGTGGTGGACAGGGAATAAACAAAATAGGTCAAGGAGAGTGGGAGATAAAGGCTTCTAGTTATGAAACGAATAAGTCATGGGAATAAAAGATATAGCACAGGGAATATAGCCAATGGTGTTCTTTTTTTTTTTTATTTTAAGATTTTATTTATTTGACAGAGATACAGCAAGAAAGGGAACACAATGTGCAGGGGGAGGGGGAAAGGGTGAAGCAGGCTTCTGGCTGAGCAGGGATCCTGATGCGGGGCTCAATCCCAGGGCCCTGAGATCATGACCTGAGCTGAAGGCAGACGTTTAACAACTGAGCCACCCAGGCGCCCCTAGTCAAAGGTATTCTAATAGCACTGTATGGTGATAGATGCTAGCTATACTTGTAGTGAACATAAACATAATGTATAGGGATGTTGAGTCACTATGTTGTACACTTGAAACTAATGTAATATAGTGTGTTGGGTATACTAAAAAAAGGAATATTTAAAAAAGTAAAAGTTATACCAAAAAAAAAACCTAAAAAGATAAAAAGCAGTTTATGTTTAAGTAGAAAAAGGCCAGATGGGCAAAAGAAAAACAAAAATGCAAAAATATCATAAAGTTAAAGGAAAATGAAAAACTAAGAAAGATATTTGCAAATATCCCAATAGATCAAGGACTAATATCTTTACTATTAATTAAGGCTAGTCAGTGAGATTATCAAATAACTATATCATTAATTAATAACAATATTATTAAGAAAGAACTCTCATAATATTAAGGGGCATAACTTACAGTACGGTATTTCCTAAGTGTGATAAATATGCATCACTGATTTAAGTACCTGACTGTTAGTTACATAATTTTAGTAATTTATTTGTGTATTACAACAATTATAAAAATAAAAAAGCACATTAAGTATAAAAAACAGATTAAACTGGTAATTTCATAGGTATTATTGTTCAGGATGAGCCCAGGCTGGTTGATTTACTTTAAAATAATATTCATATTTTGGGGGGCCTGGGTGACTCATTCGGTTAAGCATCCAACTCTTGATTTCGGGGAGTCTCCTTGAGATTTCACTCTCTCCTTCTCCCTCTGCCCCTCCCCCCACTCACATGCACTCTCTCTAAAATAAATCTTTAAAAAAATGTTTATTTTTAAAATATAAATGGTCGCTACAGAAAGTTAAAGCAAAACAGAAAGTACAAAGAAGAAATTAACAAAAACCTAATCCATCACTGAAAATGACCAGTGGTCACATTTGATGAAAATTATTTGGGAAGGAGGTGTTAATGACCTAAATAGTGGCTATGCTTACATAAGTAGATACAAGTGAAACTATTATATGAAAACAGAGACTGAAGAAGATGGCCTGACCTAACACAACATTGTGCTGAACAGAGCCTTCCAATGATTGAAAATGAAGATGATACAGTTTTTGTAAATATTAACATTGTATATATGCTTATATTAGTACTGCAATAACAGTCACTGGTCTAGGTATTCAGGCTAACCTGAATGCTAAATGCAGAAAGATTAACACTTTTCTAAACAAACCAAAAGAAACACACACACACACACACACACACACACACACACACATGCTTTAAACTATTCTAGTCTACAGCAACAGAGATGGACCTTGAGAGCATTATGCTAGGGGAAATAAGAGAAAAAGAGAAAGACAAATACTGTATGATCTCACTTATATGTGGAATCTTAAAAAAACACAAATTCCTAGGGCTGCCTGGGTGACTCAGCTGGTTAAGCATCTGTCTTTGGCTCAGGTCATGATCCCTGGGTCCTAGGATCAGGCCACATCAGGCTCCCTGCTCACTGGGATGTCTGGTTCTCCCTTTCCCTCCCCCTCTCCCCCTCCCCCTTGTGCTTATGCACTTTCTCTCACATAAATAAATAAAATCTTTAAACACACACACACACAATTTCCTAGAAAAAGAGATCAGATTTGTGGT